GCATCCCTTTGATGTGAATATTGGTATGCTTGAAGTTGTCCCAGAAGTTCCTTACACTATCCTCTGTTTTTTTGGATTCCTTTTCGTCCCTGCTGTTCTGATTGGTTGTTTTATTTGTGTTCCAAATGGTTAATTTGATTCTTGGCTTCATCCACTTTATTGTTGATTCCCTGTAGATTGTTCTTTATTTCCATTAGTATATCCTTAGTTTCTCTTTTTTATATTTAAGATTTTATTTATTTTTAGACAGAGGGGAAGGGAGGGGAAAAAGAGAAAGAGAGAAACATCAATGTGTTGCCTCTTGCATGCCCCCCACTGAGGACCCGCAACCCAAGCATGTGCCCTGACTGGGAATCAAACTGACAGCTCGTTGGTTCGCTGGCCAGCACTCAGTCCACTGAGCCACACCAGCCAGGGCCATATATATCCTTAGTTTCTGACTGGTTATTTTTGATGCTGTTGAGGTCCTCACTAATTTCCTTGAAGATCCTGATAAGCAGTGTTTTGAATTCTGCATCTGATAGATTGCTTTTCTCCATTTTGTTTAGCTCCTTTTCTGTAGTTTTGTTCTGCTCTTTCATTTGGGCCATGTTTCTTTGTCTCCTCATTTTGGCAACCTCCTTGTGTTTGTTTCTCTGTAATGGACAGGGCTACTACATATCCCAGGCTTGATAGAGTGGCTTAATGTAGTAGATGCTCTGTAGTACCCGGTGGCACAGCCTCCTCTATTACCCAAACTGAGTACTCGAGGTGCACCCACTGTGTGGGCTGTGTACTCCCTCCTTTTATAGTTGAACCCTGATTGCTGTTGGCATACCCAAGGTCAGCCACCACCTGTGTTCTGTCCTGGGTCACACACCATTAGCTACAAACTGATCTGCAGATGGTAACTACTTGTGCTGTGCTTGGCAGTACCCACAAGAAGCTAAGCTGTGAACCAAGAACGGCTGCCGATAGTCCTGGCCTGGGATGACTTAGCCAGAAGTGTGGTGTTCACTGATGCCAGATGCAACTTGTTTGAGAGAATTTAGGAAAATCTGAATCATGGGTCTTATAAACCTTTCTTATGGAAAAGCCGCTGGAAGCAGGTTGGGTGGGCCTAAAAGTTGGGTGGGGCAGGGCCTCAGGGACTCACCAGCCTGGGGCAAAGTGTGACCCAGGTTGATGAAGTCTCAGATATGCTCCCCCTCCACCTGCCCTCTCTGTTGGGGGAGGGCTCAGAAAAGGAAAAGTAGTTTCAGTTAGCACTTCTGTCTGGAAGAAGGCTGCCTCTCGGGTTTCAACCTGATGCCAGATAATTCATTTCCTCCCCATGTGTCTCTGGTGACTTTCAGTTGGATGCCCTGGCACTGAAGCTCAGAGGGAATAAATCCGAGTAAGTCTGTGTGTGGCCACTTTAAGATGAGCTGCCTGGGATTCCAGCAGTTTCCGTCTTCCACAGGTTCAGTCTCTGCTGGTTTTCACAGCCAGAAGTTATGAGGAATTATCTTCCTGACACTGGAACCCTGAGCTGGGGGGCTGGGATGGGGCTGGGATGCCTTGCTCTTGAGTTATGCTCTCAATTTTTATCTGCGATACGTGTGTGTGGGACCAGCCTTTTCTGTGCCTCTGCCCCTTATACCAGTTTCTATGTGGTTTCTTTAATTCCATAGTTGTAGGACTTCCCATTCAGCTCAATTTTTGATGGCTCTGAATGCTGGTTGTTCTATAGTTTAGGTATATTTTTGATGTGGTTGTGCAAGTGGTGAGCTGTGTTTACCCACCCTGCCATCTTGACTGGAAGTCCAAGACTTTGGTACTTTAAAGTAATAAAAGAGATTCTGTTGCTTACAGTGTTTAGCATCCAGTCAAAAATCGCCAAGTATTGCCTTTACTGGTGCAGCTCAGTGGGTTGGACATTATCCCACAAACCAAAAGGTCACCAGTTTGATTTCTGGTCAAGGTACATTCCTAGATTGTAGTAGGCCAGGTTCCTGGTTGGGTGTGTGCAAGAGGCAACTGTTCGATGTTTCTCTCCCTTTCTTCTACCTTTCACTCTCTGAAATTAAATAAATAAAATCTTTTAAAAAATTGCCAAGTATATAAAGAACCACAAAATTATAAACCATAATCAGGAGAAAAATCAGTCAATTGAAAAAGACCTAGAAAATGACAGAGAAGATTGAATTAGCAGATTTGGACTTTGAAAGTTACTAAAAGTATGTTCAGGGATTTAAAATAAAATATCATCATAACAAAGGGAAAAAATGAAAGAAAATCAAATAGGTATTCTAAAAGTAAAAATATAATACCTGAATACAATACCTGGCATGGCATTAACGGCACATTATATTCTACAGAAATGATCAGTGCATTTGAAGACAGCAATAGAAACTAAAACACAGACACCCAAAAAAACCCTGAAAAAGAAATGAAAGAGCCTTAGTAACTTCTAGAACAATATCAAGTGATCTACACAGACATATAATTGAAGTCCCAAAGAAAAAGATGGGGATGGGGAAGCAGAAATACAACTGAAGAAATAACTAAAAATATTCGAAATATAAACCCACATATCCAAAAAATTCAAAGAACCACAAGTAGGATAAACACATCAAAAACCACATCATAATCAAGTTGCTGAAAACCAGGAATGTAGAACAAATCTTAAAAGTAGCCAGAGGAGGAAAAAATAACATTTTATTCATAGGAAGAATGACCAGAGATTTCTTGCCTGAAACTGTGCAAGCCAGAAGACAGTGGAGCAACATCATTAAAGTGTTGAAAATAAATACAATGAAACTGGAATTCTTTGTCTATTTGAAAAGGCCTTTCTTGGGGCACAAAAGAGCTGAGAGCATTTCTTAGTAATATACTTTCATTTTATGAAATGGTAAAGGAAATTCTTCACTCTTGAGGAAAATGGTACCAGGTGGAAACTTGGGTCTACACAAAGTGGTAATTATATGCATACATGACTTTCCTTTCTCATTTTTTCTTGTTAATTTAAAAGATAATTGAGGGTGGATTCTGGAAAGATGGCAGGATAAGAAGCACCAGGAATCTGATTTCCTCTGTAGACAATTGCATTGCCAAAATCTGTAACTAATTTGGAACTCTTGAGTCTTTTGAAGGCTTGCAGGTTCCAGGGGTAGACTTGGAAAGTAAATTATGGTTAATTTTAAGCTCTTAGCACAGTAGCAGCTACCATCCCCCACCCCTAGTCACATGGCAAGCAGCTGTTTCTCTGTTCCAGGAACAGCTTACAAACAGCTTGTGGTTGCTAGGTTGGGCAAAAAGGACCTTATCCTTTAGGTTCTCTGACAGGTAACTGCTTCATTAGATCAGATAGTTGCCAACAAAGAGGCAGTATCTCCCCCTATTGTTACAGGCCAGGTCACCCTCTCTACCAAGTGACTACCAGGAGATACAAAGAGCCAGTGCTCTTCTTCCCCTACTTCATTTCTTTTTTTATTCTCTTTTGGGAGCCAGACATTAAAAAAGACTAGGACATTAAAAAAAAACTGTATTTACAGGGAAAATCATGCATACTCAGGAAAACGCACGGGAGAAACCTGAGAAGACCTTAAATTTACACCTCAACCTCATCCTTGGCACAGAAGCAGCCTTCAATTATCAAAAAAAAAAAGAGAGAGAGAGATACAATAAATAAAACAAACAAAACCCAGAAAGCTCTGGAGAAGGGGAAGAATCTGATTTCTAGATTTACCATCTCCCCAGATTTGATGAAAAACATGAATAAACCCGTAAATATCCAAGAAGCTTAGTGAACTCCAAGTAAGATGAACTCAGTGAGACTCACACTGAAACACATTATAATCAAACATTCAAAAGACAATGAATCTTGAAAGCAGCAAAAGAGAATCTACTCATCGCATACAAGGGATCCTCAGTAAGAATAAGTTCTCATCAAGAACTTTGGAGGCCATGGGGCAGTTGACCAGTGTATTCAAAGTTCTAAAAGAATAAAACAGTCAACCTGTCAAAGAGTTCTATGTTTGGCATAGCTCTCATTCACAGGTGTTTTTGTTTTTTTATGGGTTTTTTTTTTTTTTTTTTTTAGTTTAAATAAGTTGAATTTTTAAGAAAGAAATTAGACAACTTATGTGTAACTCATCTGACTCTAAAGTCACGTCACTGATTAAAAAAATAATGGTGGAGAAATTAAGACATTCTAAGACAAAAGCTGAGGAGTTTGTTATATTAGACCTGCCCTACAGGAAATACTCAAGGGAACTCTTTAGGGTGAAAATAAAGGGCACTAGACAAAAACCATACAGAAATAAAGATCTTAATGAAGATAAAATACATGGGCAATTATAAAGGCTAGTATTCTAACAATGGTTTATAATGCCACTTTTTGTTTTCTGCACAATTTAAGAGACTAATACTGTTTTTTAAATTATTAATGTAAAGGCTTTCAAGTGACTTGGTTTGTAACTTCATATTTTGTTTTCAACATTATTTAGGAGATGAATGAATTTAAAAGAATTTTTAGTTTGTAGTTTGTATTTCCAGACACAGTATATAAAGATGTAATTTCATGACATCGACAACAGAATGGGGTAAGGACAGGGCTTACTTTAAGTGACTGCTCTTAAGTTAAATAAACAATATGCATCTTAAATTTACCAGTCTACCTTCAAAAAATATTAGAAGACGGAAATATAATGTAAGAAGTTTTCCATTTCCCTCATCATATCCTTTGTTTTACTGTCGTACAGTTTACATTTCATATAATACTATAACCCCCAAAACATTATTATTTTACTACTGTAACATATTCTATTATTTTATATATTACTGCTATAAGTAGTCATTTATCTTTTACTTCCTATAAGTAGTCAGCTTTCTTTTTACATCTTGTTTTATTCATGTAATGGATTTTGCAGAGCTTTTCACAGAGAGCACTCTTGTAGGATCAAATGTGACAATATGGTTAATGTAGTATGTCAACCCAAATTAGTTTCAGTAATTTTTTGAAAATCTTACTTCTTTAGCTAATGGGAATGACAACAAGAAATTTAAAGGAGATAGACCTCCCTGTTCGCCTTCTCGTGTTCTCCATCTTCGCAAAATTCCAAGTGATGCCACCGAAGCAGAGGTCATATCATTAGGTCTACCATTTGGCAAAGTAACTAATCTTTTGATGTTGAAAGGAAAAAGCCAGGTATGTAATATTTAAAGATTGGCCCATAATGCTGTCTCTTGGTATTAGTATTAAAGATGATTTTTATTTTCTTGAACTTTTCTGTATTTTCTAAATTTCCTTCTGTTTGAAGTAGTTTTTAAAGTATTTTTTTGTATGACAGGAAACAAAAATATTAACATAGGAAACAGGATTATCTCTTATTTATTGATTGGTCTTTTACCTCCTTAATAAAACACATTTTGTTTTTTTAATTACAAAATAGTTTATGCAGATATCCTGTGATTATCAGAATGCCCTGATGGAGAAAGAGAGAGAATATAAATTATACCTCATAGGCAAATTATAGAACATGTAAGTTTTCCAAAATCTACATATAAATTTTTAGTGTATTTTAGTTGTAGAATTAATATGTAGCTTCTTTAATAATTTGAAAGAGACTGTAAGAGGTTCTTCATTTCAGAAGTTAATAGGTTTTTCTTAAGATGAATAAGGAAACTTGCTTTTGCTGTGATCATGATAAAATTATAATACTTGTCATATTTATTTGAATAATTGCATGCTTTCTTGTTCCAGCTCAGAACCCAATGGAATGAATTTTTTAGTTCTAGTTTTAAGTTGCCCTGAAAATCTTTTACACTGAGCATTGCTGCAAAGAAGAGGATAACAAATATAGGCCCTAGACACTGTTGTATATTGTGATAAGTCCCTGTGTTTCTTGTACTTTTCATTAATAAAATTTAAGAAGCACATTTTAAATATATTTATAAATAAATTGATTAGCATTAATCTTGCTAGATACTGGATGATGATGTCTGATTCGGTCCCATATCTTTAGTAAACTATAAACTAACATCTCTGTTTAATTTGGATGAGGTTATTAATCTCTAGAAGTTAAATAACATGTCTTAGTATTCAACCCTTGCTGTGTCTCCACACTTCCCTTAAGTCTCTTGGAGATAGTACATGTACTAAGATTTTTATTTTAACACGGTTGCCTCTGTTAAGAATGGTAGGTTTGCATAGTTTGAAAAGAGCCAACGTGGCCATGTCTAATGATGTGAGATGTCTAACAGCCATGTATCGTGTATATTATCGTGTTTCCATAGTGTATCCTATACATCATTACAAATGTCTGTGAGAGGCATCAGGCAGTGTCATACTTTCCTTTGTCTCTACTGTTAGTTCCGGATTTTTATTTACCGGTAGTGCTAATTGGCTGTTACGTTGATTGCTTGTCTTTTGATCATAAATTCTGTTTGAAAAATGTCTTGTTAGTAGTATACTTAAGCCAGAGATTCTGATGTGAGTCACTAGAAATACTTTTAGGTGTAATCTTTCCCTTGGTACTTGGAGTTAGGGTATTGAGGGCACAAAGGAAATTATTTTCAGCAGCCTTTCTGTGGATATTGACTTGATTTTCTTTGCACCCACATAATGAAAATTGATTCTTCTGACTGAATACTTTAGAAAAACAAATAAAATATTTACTGGATTCCATGTGAAAAAATTATTTTCACATATGAATTCTTGTGTTCTGTATACTTTCAGGAAAAAACTTTCTGTGCTAAGAATCATGTACTATTCCAAATACATTGTTTAGTTTTTCCTTTGTGTGACTCATGTTAAACACTGAGTTTGTTCTTAACATGTAGTAAAGAGTTTAAAGAAGAGACACTTTCCCCATATAGTGAATATTATTAAAATACAGTTTACAATTTTTTTTTGTTGAAGAGATGATTAAAAACAAGATGGAGAATGTTGCCATAGCTATTTTTATCTTGATCATTTTTATCCTCCTTTCTTAGAAATGTTAGAAAAAGTATATTACTGATACAATTGGATAGTGGATTTATACCACCTTTTAGATGGTATAAATGACTCAAAGTTTATTTTATTTCTTGAAGATGGAGAAATTATTTGTTCATTGTGGATCAATTAACTAATGGTATTTGGTCCACTGTTGTGTGGCTTACATTACTGCTTAATAAAATGTTTTTATTAGTTCATTTAATCAATTCAGTTGTGATAGTTGATAAATTCAGTGAAGTATCATATTTAACATTCATTAAGTTAATACTCCTTTGCCTGGAATATTTGCCAAATGGAAATACTTGCCAAGTAAGGTAATTATAAGCAAAGAAAGTTCAGCTTATAGATACTTAACCATTTGCTGTGTTCAGTAAATTTTGTTGTTAAATACATATTTTATAAATAAATTATAAATGTTATATACATAATTTGAATTGGTTACCGTATGCTTGCCAATTGAATAAGGTGGTTCTGAGGGTTCAGAGTGGTGAATGTATGTCTGTATTTTATCTTCCTAATTAACCATTAAGATAGGTGGCAAAGCCTGCCATCTTAAAGCTTTATGAGTATCCTATTCCTATAATAGAAGTTACAGGAGTCCTGATAGCCAGAAGAAGCCATATATAGAATAAGTTATAAATACCAAGGTGCATCTTCCATCTTAGCTTGTCCTGTGTTACTCTGCAAATATCTAATACTAATACAGTAATTACAGATATTTAAAAATTGTCACTTGAGTGACTCCAATCAATATTGACTTAACATAGGAAGTTCTCCCATTTTCATAATTTGAACAATTGAGCCTCTGCTCCTGACTACTCTATTTAATTGTATTCATAAACAGCTGTTTTATAAAAAGGTAAAGAACAAATCATTATGCCTCATCACTGTTAGAGAATTTTTAGAAAAGAACTGTTAAATCCCCACTTCTGAAAGCATCCATTTACAGTGGTGATGCACACTTTATTTTTGTCTTTTTAATTATTTCTAGATTTAAGAGAAACATAAAAAAGAGAAAAACCAAAACCCACATGAAATCATTTAATCAACTGGCAGTCCCAAATCCTTTACTGAACTCAACTTTTTAAATTTATTCCCAATTAATATCAGTGATACAAATTGAAGCAAAAATTTCTTCATTCCCTTGGGAGCAATATTATTTAGATTGAGAATGAATGAGTTTAGAGCAAGCTAGAATGACAAGAGAGTTCATAGCTGTATTTCAAAATCAAAAACTTCCTCTTTACCTTCTTGTGTTGATTACAGGCTTTCTTAGAAATGGCTTCTGAAGAAGCTGCTATTACTATGGTGAATTACTACACTCCTGTTACTCCTCATCTTCGAAGCCAGCCTATTTTTATTCAGTATTCCAATCACAGAGAACTTAAGACTGACAATCTACCTAATCAAGCTGTAAGTATTAATGGCATTTTTAAAAAGTTATTAAATAAATATAATAGCTTAAAGTTAATTTTCTGTGTTTCAGAGGGGGGAAAAGTTTTTGGTTTTTTTTTTTTTTTATCTTAGGATGGTTTATTAGTAAAGATTGTGTATGTAAATTCTAACCTAAAAGCTTAAATATCAGAAAGTAAAGCCCTTTAGAAATGTGAAGCTTGAGGTTAAGGTGTTAAAAATGCCAAATACTTAGTTTTTTTCCTTGAAACTGTTTTCGTGAGAAAAAAAGAAAAAACTTACATTGTTATAGATGTCTCAAAAATCTCAGATGTAAAAGGAACTTTAGAAGTCAGTTCTTTTCACTGAATATATAACAAAGGCATTAAGAAGTTGAATGATGCTTCTATTGTGATGTTAAGTAACTGAACTTAAGATGTTAATAAGAATTTATATAGATATGTTCATTAAGTGATTTCAAGATGAATGTGGAATGTAGAATACCAACATTTCTTACCTATTTTCCAGTTTTTATTATGGTGTAGTTGATGCTGAATCTTCCCTGTCTCTCCAGGTTGACTTTTTAAGTAGTTAAAATAGTAATTTGAAATTACTTAAGGGTAGAAAAAATTTTTACCACAAAACAAGTAACGTTTTAAGACAGATTTTTTTTTTTTTATTATGTTAAGAGCATGTCTGGCTCCGATACTCTTCCTGTAGGTGAAAGAATTCTTCCAGCTCTTTGATTGTGTGTTGAAAGTAATTTATAATGCACGCTGCTGAATTTAAATAAGTTTTCCACGTTATTTTTTAAAAAGTAACTATTTTCCATATGTAATTCCTAATTTGTTCCAAGAGATACTAATGACATATATAAGCTGTATAAAATCAAGTGTAAGTGAAATATTATTTTTAAATAATGTAGACTTTTTAAAATGAAAAATTGCCTTATAAATTATAAATAGGATACATTCTCATGAGAAGACATAAAACAATTAAAAAAGTTAAGAAACAAAACAAAATAAAAAAAAACAACTTAGTTACCCAGAGATAACTAACATTTTGATCTATGCCCATTCTCTATTTAGGTATATTATCATCTATGTATATAATTTTACACCAAAGGAAGTCTAATGTTTTGAAAGCTGTCAGACATTGTTTCATTAGAACAAATACAGAATTAGTTTATAATTTTTAAATGCATGATATTCCCTTTTATGGAACAACTGTAACAGGTTTTGTTTTTTTTTTTTTAAGGTTTTATTTATTTTTAGAGAGGGAGGAAGGGAGGAAGAAAGAGATGGAGAGAAACATCAGTGTGTCGTTGCCTCTTACATGTCCTCTATTGGGGACCTGGCCCACAACCCAGGCATGTGCCCTGACTGGGAATTGAACTGGCAACCTTTTGTTTTTCAGTCCAGTACTCAATCCACTGAGCCACACCAGCCAGGGCAATTTTTGTTTTTAATAATAGACATTGAGATTGTTTCCAATTAGTTTATCTTTCTGGCAGTGAAATTGCTGGGATTAAGCATATGCATATATTATATTTTGATATATGTTATATGATTGCTTTCTGTAAAGATTATGTGCTCTCTTTGGGTGTCACTGATAATGTATGAGCAATTTTCTTGTCTCTGTTAATATGATAGGTGAGAAATTATATCTTATTGTTTTTAAGATAATAAAAATACATATTTTTATTTGGTAACTTATAAAGTATTTATAGTGATTTCTGTTACTGTGGGCTTTTACCATTTTAACCATTTTTAAGTATACTGTTTAGTGGCATTAAGTACCTTCACATTATGCAACCCAACACCAGCATCCATCCTCAGAACTTTTTCTTCTTCCCCAACTTATTCTCTGTACCCATTCCCTTGTCCTCTCAGACCCTGGCAACCACCATTTTACTTTGTCTCTTATGAGTTTTGTGTGCTAATAATACAGTTTTTTTATATATTTTCGTACAATAAATTTATTAAGATTGTATTACAGTTTCTGATTTTAATACCATACTCATAAAGACCTAGCTTAGTAAAATTAAAAATAATTTACCTATGTTCTCCTACTTCTGTGTTTTAGTTGTTTGTATTTTAATATGTAAATCTTTTTTTTTTTTTTTAAATTTTATATCTCCTCAGGAAACCATAGCACTACTGAGTGTCTATCACATCCTATAGAGAATTTCAATCTTAGGTCACAGGGTTAAGAGCTCCTGGTTTTGATTCCATAAGCTCTCTTTGAAATGACCTATTAATATGTAAATCTTTTATTAGAAATATTTTAGGGTTAGAGAGTAAGGTTAGGATTTTTTGGTCTTTATTTTACTTCTAGTGATCAGTTTCTCCTTGGTTATCTTTTTGATAACCTATTATCCGCATATGTGAAGCATGTTCTTTGTCATGTTCTAGTTTTCTATAAACATGCTATACTTACTTACAACATGCATATATACACTTGTTAGTCATGCCTACATATTCTGCTTGCATGACCTCAGTCTCCCCTCATGAGACAGATGCTCACGTAGTATGCGCTACATGTCTAATTTGGACTGCCTTTTGGATTCCATTCTGTTTGATTCCTGTTTCAATGTCCCTATGGCTTAATATATTATAGGGTAAGGCCCATTCTTTACTCTCTCTTTTATGAAATTAACTGGTCAATACATGTCACTTATTCTTCCAGATATATTAGAATTATTTTGATAACCTCTACCCCCAAAAAACATAATTGGAATTGAGTTGATTTTATAGATTAAATTTCAGGTAATTAACGTATTTATTTTTCTTACTGATCCTTTTGAAGAAGTTATATTTTGTTTCTTGTCTTTCAGTAGAGCTTTTAATTTTTTTTTTATGTAAGTTGTACAGTTTTCTCATTAGTGTGATTCCTAAATATGTTAGTATAAGTCTTGAGGAAGAAATAAGCAATTTAATAAAACTCTTAAAGACTGGATTATTCTAAAGGGAAACAGTAAGAAATCCCAGTTGCTTGGCAACCAGAGCCAGCCCAAATGACCTAGTTTATTCTTTGATAGCCTTGATTTCTTCCCAGTACTCTTTCTGTTTTGTTACTTTTGTGTAATTTTTATGTATTGATGTTTCATAAAATATAATAATTTCTCTTTTCAAAGTTCTACCACAAAGCTGAATTCAAAATTGAAGGTACCTGTTTGCATATATAAAATGTTTCAGATGTCTTGTATTTTGACAGCTCTGGGAAGCTGATAAATTACTGTTTCATTCTGTTTTATTCTCTGAATAACAGGATACCCCAATGCACATAACTTCTTTTCCAGCTTATGAGCATACTTGCCAGAGGGTTAGGTGAATATCAAGTATTTTTGTCCCTTGATTTAAACTAAAATTATAGCTAAAAAATTTATATCATATTTTGAGGTACAGCATTTGAGAATTGGTTATGTTAAGAGCAGCCGTTATTGTATAGGCAGTTTTTCTTGATCTCATAGGTGGAAGTTTATAAATCTTCAAAGAGATGACCATGGAAGGATTTTTCTCTAAAATTTCCCTAAAAAGTCATCAAACGGAACACTTAAAATATGTGCATTTTATTGTATACTCATTTCCATCTCAATTTTAGAAATGCCTTCTTCACATAATCTGAGCATGTTTAAATTCTACATGAAGTATATTTCTCTCCCCTGCCTCAAAAATATGTGTTGGTGTTTTGATCATACTGCCATTTTCTTTATTTATAGTCAGTGTTGCAGTGATTCCATAGATTCGTTGCTGAACATTTAAATATAATCTCCTGTAATAGGAATTCTGCATTGTAATTTTTAGTGTCAGAATCACAGAAAACATTTATTGTTCCTTTCTCCAATTTTTCTGTTTTTCTCAGTGGAGAGTATGCCTCAGTTTCTTTTTTTTTTTTAACTTAAATATTCTTTTGCCTAATTAAAAATAGAAACTACAGAGTTACTTATGGAGTAAAGGGTTTTTTCCCCAGGTGTTAATTTCTCAGATTTTTGCTGTCAAAAGCATTTTTTGCATGCCTGCTATTCAGCAAGACCTTTGTATTCAGTGTTCAATGAAATACTTAACGTAGAGTATATTGAAAACTCCAGAATGATTAAGACAATATATACAATGGCTTTTTATATTTCTCCACTATGATATCCCTTATGCCAACGAGGAAGGAGTGAAGAGGAACGACAATAACTGTAATACTAGCAACTGCAAGCATATATAGAGAATTGCTTAATATAAAGAAATAGAACTGTGTTGGAGGTATAATGACATCAAGTCAGTGAGGTTAAGTTTACTTTTGTTCGTGCAGGCTTAATTTTGATAAGATTTAATCATCATAATCTAGGAGGAAAAGGAACTATTATTCCACTTAGAACCTCATTATAATGATGTCTTTTCCTAGACAAATAAATTTCAAAATAAAAATCTCATTTCTTCAGCTGGACTAGGCAAACTTCAGGTGCTCCCTAGCCATATATGGCTAGTGGCTATCAAATTGAACAACATAGATAGTGAACATTTCCATCATCACAGGAAATTTGGTTGGACAGCACTCTATTTTATCTTCCATATCTCTACTCACCTTTGTGTGCGTGTGCACACACGCAGTAGTTAAAATAACTGCTTTCGTTCCTATCTGCTAATCTAACCCCTGTGTCAGCTCTGAGTCTTTTTTGATTGATTGACACCACCACCATCCCTCACCTAATTATGGGCCCAAAGTGTAGAAGTCTAAGTAAGTTTTCAAAGGTGTAAGAAATAGAACCTTAAAATCTTACTGAGGAGCCCGGTATAAATAGATGACATAAACTGCCGTATTTGAAATGGGATGGTGGTGCTCAGTAGTCCACATACAATGGGCTTTCCAAGAGCATAGTTTTAAAAATCAGTGAGATAAAATATTAAAATTGTTCTCAAACATGATGATGCTTTGAACATGGTGTTGACAGTTGTGCTTTACCTGATAACATAAAAAATTTGTATATAACCTAAAGATGCTATTAAAAGGTATAAATAAAAGGCTTGTTACAACCATTTGCAACTTAGCGACTGGGATGTGTTTTGAGAAATGTATCATTAGGTGATTTTGTCATTGTGTGAATATCACAGAGTGCACTTATACAAACCTGGGTGGTATAGCCTACCACACACCTAGGCTAATAATTCCTAGGTTACAAGTCTGTACAGCATGTTAATGTACTGAATACTGTATATAATTGTAACACAATGGTAAGTATTTGTGCATCTAAACATTAAAAAGTTACATTAAAATTACTGTATAAAAGGAAAAGAAAATTGTTAAGCCTGTATAGGACAGTTACCATGAATGGAGTTGTAGGGACTGGAAGTTGCTCTGGGTGAGTCAGAGAGTGGTGAGTGAATGTGAAGTCCTAGGACATTGCTGTATGCCAGTGCAGACTTCATAAACACTGTACACTTTGGTAACACTGAGTTCATAAAACAACATAAGATAAAATCAAGTACAAGAGAAAATGATGCAATCAAGAGATGTAAACCAGCTGTCCCCAACCTTTTTGGCACCAGGAACTGGTTTCATGGGAGAGCATTTTTCCACAGATGGGGGCAGGAGGTGGGGAGGAACAGCAGGCAGAGCTAAGGTAGTAATGCCAAAGAGAAGTGCTTCACTCTACCTCGGCCTCACCTCCTGCTATTGTGGCCCTGTTCCTAACCCTGTGGTTTGGGGACCCCTGTAGTAAACAATAGATGTATGAAGCTACTGCCAGCATAGCATGACATACTGTTTTATAGCAAACTTTTTTTTAATAAATAGAATACACTCTAAAATAACAGAAAGTAGATAAAGTAGACAAACCAGTAACATAGGTGTTTATTAACATTATCCATATTATGTATTGGTACACAATTGTTTATGCTATACTTTTATATGACTGACAGCATACTGGGTTTCTTTACACCAGCATCTCCACAAACATGTGAGTAACATCTTGTACTACAACATTATGACCTTTAACATGTAACTAAACAATAGGAATTTTTCAGCTCCTTTTTAATCTTAGTGATAAGATTATATACATCGTGTGTGATACTTCCTTGACTTAACGTCATTATGCAAACGACTGTATTTAAGTATAAAAATAGTTGTCCTGCTATTAAGCATACAGAAAGAAAAGATGGCCATTTTTCAGAAAGGTATTTATTTTACATTTTAATGTTACAGCAAAATGTTGGAAAACTACTTCTCTCTCAGTGAGATGGTAAATAGTAAAAATTAAAATCATGAAAACAAAACACAAGAAATGCTCATTTAAAATGACAAAGTGCAGAGTTAAAATTTCAAGTAACACTATGTGAAAATGAAAGGAGCTTCATTAAAGTGGTGGGGTTTTTCATTTTGTGGCACAAACATTTTACTAATTATTAGCATTCTTAAGTAGTGATAAGTATGGAACAAAAGATCGATGAAAACATCCATTTAATTTCAGTAATCATTAACCACCATGATTTTTTCTCTTAATTTTCCCTCCACCTATTTCATTTTTTAAATAATGACTTTAAAATTTGAGACAATTACAAAATTAGAAAAGTGTTGCTGATACAATAAAAAGAACTTTTGATTTCTTGAGGCATTTGAAAATTAATTGCTAATCTGGTTTGTCTGCATTGTCTAACGCTTAGCATGTTTTTTTTTCCCTACGAACAGGGACATTCTCCTACATAGCCAGGATACAGTGGTCAAAATCAGGAAACTTAAGCCCTGGCCAATGTGGCCCAGTTGGTTAGGCTACATTCACCAAACTGAAAGGACACAGGTTCAGTTCCTGGTCTGAGCACATGCCTAGGTTGCAGGTTCAGTACCTAGTCAGGGCACATGTGAAAAACAAATGATCAATGTTTCTCTCTCATATTATGTCTCTTCCTCTCTTTGCCTCTCTCTAAAATCAGTAAGCATTTCCTTGGGAGGATAAAAAAAAAATTAGAAGTTTACATTGATACATTACTTCCCTCCAATTCTCAGTTCCCATTCAAGTTTTGCCAGTAGCCCCATAATGTTTGTTAGAGTAAAACAAATATTCCAAATCACATGTTCTGTTTAGAATTCATGTTTTTCTTAGTCTCCTTTAATCTGAAACAGTTCCTCAGTTTTTCTTTCATTGTCATGACCTTGGCACTTGAAAGGTACAGGCAATTTATCTTTTAGGGTGTCCCTCAGTTTGAGTTTGTCTGATGTTATCTTGTGATTAGGTTCAGTGTATATATCTTTGACAGGAACATCATAGGAGTTATGTTCTTTTTTTCTTCATTGCATCATATTAGATGGGACATAATTTCAGTTTGTTGCGTTACTGGTAATGTGCTCTTTGATCACTTGGTTAAGCTGGTGTTGCTTGGCATCTCCACTGTAAGGTCAGGACTTACAAAGGGGGAAAGGAATATTTGGGGAAGGGTACTTTAAGATAATGTAAATATACTGTTCCTTGTCAGCTGTCAGTTTATATCAGTATGGACTAAAGGGTTCCTGTTTTATTTGATAGGCTATTATGGGTTAGCCAAAAAGTCTGTATGATTTTTTCCATAAAATAAAGCCACATTTTTCATTTTCACCAATAACTTTACTGATTTGGATATTTGGAGTATGTTGGCTTCTCCTGAGTGGTGTAATATTGATTGTTCTCAATTAATATCTGGATTTGATCACTATCAACTTCAACTGGTCTACCGTACCATGGAGAATTGCCCAATGAGAAATCTCCAGCACAAAACTTTGCAAACCACTTTTGACACATTTGATCAGTCACAGATCTCCTTCTCCATACACTGCACAAATCTTTTTTTGCATTTCAGTTACATTTTTACTTTTATTGAAATAATAAAGCATAATATGCCAAAAATATTGCTTATTTTCCTCATCTTCAGTGTTAAAATGGCTGCAGAAAAATTTACCGATTTTGGTAAGTTTTTTTTAATGCACGCTGATAGGAAGCTGTCATGATACAATCTAACAAAATTACTTTGAATGAAGTTAAGGGCAACTAAGCACTACTAGAGCCATCTTAGGGGAAAAAACCAAACAAACTTTTTGGCCAACCCAATATTTGTTATAATCATTATTATTGTGATTTTTCAAATCGTCCTATATTTGGCCAGTAGGATCCCCCTTAGGGGCCCTTTCAGCCTCTTCCTGTCATTCCTTACACACTTCATTGCATTGTAGTTTAAAAAAAAACAAACAAACAACAAAAAAACCCATAAAAACGAAAGTTATATATTTATCTTCTGCTTTCCTTACTCCACATCTGGAAGTAGACATTTTTTAGAGTACCCTGGTTTCTTTTAGTGAAGCATATTTAGAAACTTGTCTGTGTTCACCTGCTTGGGCTCTAACGTCACTTGCAAGGCAGTCCCTCCATTACTACCTTTTACCCCACTCAGGCCCTCATAAACCTCTTGTTCACCATACTCAGACTGTCTTTACCACATTGGCTACCCATCCCCTCTGAACCCCTTACTGACTCTCCTTGGGTTTGGACACTCCTGTCCAGGTTACTCTCCTCTGGATGCCTTTCTTACCTTTCTCTTGCTCCTCAGGTTCTGATATCGAAATGAGCTGCCCCTTTCTTACCTTGTTTGGGCTCAGGTTCCCCTTGCTAAGGAAGCTTTACTAAATGGATGCTTTCCTAATGTTGCTCAGGCCCTGGTGCTCCGTGTCAGCATGCCTCCTTACAGGGATCCCCTCCGTACCTCACTGAACCACTACAACTCCTCTCCTCCATATATTTTCCACATGCCACCCAAAGGTTTTATTTTTTAAATTTAATCCATTTTGTTTTTTTCCATTACCATTATAGTCCCCATATACCTCCGTCTCCCCAGCAGTTACCGCACTGTTGTCCATGTCCATGAGTCCTTTTCTCCCGAAGGCCTTAGATTTCAACTTTTCAGGGAGACAAAAAGAAGAGAACTTGAATGGTTTTTAAGTGATCTTTAATGTTACTTTCACATTGTCTTTTTTCCTGTTGTCATTTAAAATTTTTGGATAAAAACCGTATCTAATTTTCCTTTTTTGCCGTGTATTTTTTTTTTCGTTTCTTCAGGTAAATTTAAGCAGCATTCTTATATATTGTGCCATTGTGCCAAGTCTTTTGACTCTTTACTGATTATAAATTTAGGATATATACATCCAGAAAGAGTAGATATGTTTATTTTTTATTTAACTATATTACTTCATATTACTTCACATTAACTAATTTTTAGGATTTATATAATGCTTCTGTATAACCAAAAGTTCTCATTTTGGATTGTTATGTAGAGAGCCCAAGCTGCACTGCAGGCTGTCAGTGCTGTCCAGTCGGGAAGTCTGGCGCTTCCTGGAGCTCTTACCAATGAAGGCACAATCCTACCTGGGCAGAGCCCTGTGCTCCGAATAATTATCGAAAACCTCTTTTACCCTGTTACTCTGGAAGTTCTTCATCAGGTAAGGAGGAACACTTACATGTTTTTAGGTTGTGAATTTTGGTTGCTAGGTTTAAATAATTAAAAAAAAATTCATCCTGTTTCATGCAAGAAGTAAAATCAGAGATAATTTTAACAGTTCCCATTTTTGTAAACTTAAATACTGATTTAAAAAGGGTGTATGAGACATTCTTTTTTTATATATCTAAGCATGAAAATGATTTAAACATAAAATCCTATAAAAAGCACTGAAAGATATACAGTAATTCTTTATGTAACGTGGAAGTATCATGTTAAATACTGATTAATAGCTTTCATTGACTAGTTATTAATATGTATAAATTGACTTGATAAAAGACGTTCTATCAAATCATGGCCTACCTACGATGAAGACCTATTAAAATTTAAGGAATGGAAGGTCACCACCTCATTGTATAACTTTATAGTGAATAAAACTGAGACTCAGATAACTGATGCATTGAATATTGTAGAGAGTACTTGAAGAGCCGGTTAGAATTCAAGCCTGCTAATGTGAAATGCAGAGTTCTGTTTTATATGCTTGTTATATTTTTACGTAATACTCCATATATATATATTCTCAAAATGTAACGTATAGTTCATTGGTAATCTATATACATAAATATTTGGCATCTAGCCCAAAAACACCAGTTAGTTTTGTCCCTTTTAGTTACATATTGATTTTATTTCATTATACTTGTCAATCTGTTTATTAAAACACTAAAACATATTATTTGCTTATTTTTATACTGTATCTCAGTATATATTGCCAATACAATGCGAAGCCATTTTAGAATTATTTAACTCTCTTGCTCATCATTGTATTATACTGCTAAGTGAGGAGTCACAGGTGAGTGTGTGCACGCACACACAAGTGTTTTTGAGAATTGAAATGCATCTTATCCTATTCTCACATTTTACAAATAAGGAAACAGAGGCCCTTAGAAGTTAAGTTACATTTCCAGTTACTGTACCAACTGGTGATAAAACTTGGGTACACTTCCTAATACAGGTCCTGTGCCATGCATATAAATACCAGAATATGCCATTTATTAGGCCAGTGATCCCTATGATAGATTTCTGACTATCATTTTCTTAAACATGCATTTGTGAAGCATATTCTACAGAGTGCTTTAACATTGGTGTCCATAGCCACTGTTGTACCCTAAAAAGCTTCAGGAGTTGCTCAAGTGATTGGTTTCTTTGTTCTGGTGGATTTTCTTCTCTTCTATGTATCCCACAAAGTGTAATGGAGCACTCTATGATCCATCAGCTGTGTTTGTTTGCTTTTGGTACTGTAACACTGTAGCTGCTGCTAACTTACACTGTTTTACAAAGGATGTTCTTGCTCTTTTGGCTCAACATTGCTATCTCTTGCAGTGAGTTTAGTCAGGATCATGTGGTCGTGTCCTATCATTTCACTTATCATCTCTCTGAGAGCAGTAACAAACCTTGTTTCTCTCCCAAAAGATCACAGGGTCCTTCAGGTGAAGAGGGGTAATTCTGAGAATTCTTAATAGCAACTTTCAGTGTAGGGTTCTGAGCCTTTCTGTTATAGCACTCCCTTGTTTAATGCTACTTTCTGTTGTTGAGATCAAACCAAACTCCTGACCAAAGCCCTTAACACCCCCACCTGCAGATCTTCTCCATCTCTTAAACCCTATTTCCTAACACTTCTCTACCTATTTAGCACCCTGACTTGTGTGGCCCTTGACTTTCTCCCCTTCCTGCCAGCTTATTCATATCTTAGTCCATTTCTGTTTTCTCTTTCTTAGGCTTGTAACACTTCACTGACATTAGTCACTTAACTGAATTCTGCATTATCAAGTTTTCAGTCAAAGGCTTCCTTAGTCTTTCTCTAATACCATTAATTAGGCTCTCTTCCCCCTGGCACTCTATCTCATCAGCCAGCAAAAGGTAGTATAGCATAAGGGACTGGAGCTGGTTTGATTCCTAGCTTTATCATTTACTACCTCTATAACCTCAGGCAGGTAATTTACCCCTTCTATGTCTTTTACTTATTTATGTAATGGGGATGAACAAAGACGGTGCCCAATCCCTTCATTGTAAGTATTACATGAGTTAATGCACTAGAAACACTAAGAACAGTGCCTGCTGCGTATTAAGGGCTCAAGAAATTTTAGCTATATCAGATGCTAGTAAATTGCACTGTAAGAAACTGATCTTTGCTTTGTAGTCTTGTGGGTAAGATAATTTTGTAAGTAATAGCATAAACACAATGAATATTGAGATGTAGAGATATGTGAAAGTATGGAGTTGCTTGCACCTGTTATAATTAATTAAAGGATTATTTTATATTCTGTGCTTAATAGTTGGCATTAACTAAACTGCTGTAGAAACTAGTGGTTTTTCCTTTAGCTCATGGTAAGGGGATTGAGAGTGATTGAGATTGGAGTGGTGCTACTTCAAACAAGGAATGTTAAGGTGTTAGTTGGGTATGTTTGTGGTAGAATAATGGTCCAGTCAGAAAAAAACAGCAAGTACAAAGTCCTTAAAATGGAAGTATACTTGATGTGTTCAGATATCAAAAATAAGGATATGTCATTGGAGTGTAAAAACTAGGAGAGCCATAAAAGGGTCAGAGAAGCAAGTGGTTTAGGGGCCAGATGGCGTAAAGCCTTTATAATCTTTAAACTGAGTGAGAGGGGAAACCATTGGAGGATTTTGGGAAGAGGGATACATTTATGTTTTAACAGAATCACTCTTGCTGTGTGATTCTGTAGGCATAAGAGATAGTTATATGGATATGTTTGGAAAGATTTGCTGATGGGTCAAATACATGTGGTTTATGAAGAAAAAGAGAGTAATCAAGAATGTCTTCTGTATTTTGGCTGTGAGACTATGGAAATTAGAACTATCTTATACTAAAATAAGACAGAAGGGAAAAAAGATTTGGGGCAGGAGTGGGAGGTAGAGCAGGAATCAAGAGGGTGTTTTGGACATATTAAGTTTGATATACCTAATAAACATCCAAGAAGGAGATATTGAATAGACAATGGGGAAATAAATTTGGATTGCATAAGAATTCAGGGCTGGAGGTTTGGTAATCATCAGTATATGGGCAATAATTTGAAGCCATTGGATTCTGTGGCATCAGCTAGAGAAATTTGTAGGTAAAGAAGGTGTTCTTTGACTGATCATTATGTAAACTCAACCCTGCATAATAAAAACTTCTTTGTGCACTGGAGTAGTTCAAAATAATATTCTCATATAATTCATTATTTCCAAGTATTATTATATATAGGGATATTTTATGACTGTCCAAGAGACAAAGTTCATCACGGTAAAAGACTGATCTCTTTGAATTACAGAATAAAGATAGATAACTTGCAGAAATCAATTATTATGGTATTACATAAAAGAAGCAATACTAATAATATAAAATTCTGGTTATTAAGTCTTACTGTTTTGTTGTCTACAAAAAATATTAAAAGCAAGTTGTGGCCAATGTGCTTGATATTTTAAAAATAATATGAATATGCTTTTTGCAAGTGAATACTAGTGAACATTTTCAGTTTCTGGCAAGTTCTGCCCTGACGATTAATTTTACCAGAATTTTATAGTATTTTCTTAGTCCCATTTTAAAGTCTAAAAGATTATAATGTACAGAAGACCTCAAGGGTTGAGTCTCTGTGTTTATGTTTATGACATCAAAATAAATATATTAGGGAAATAGAGTTAAAACCTTATAATCAATAGAACTAAATCTGAATATATTACACTTTCCCAAATGTTAATCTTTTGAGACCAAATCTTTTGAAAATTTTATATTTTGATAACTATGAAATAATGTTAAAAATCACACTTTAGGCATTCCTTGATTCCTAAATGTTGTTGCTTATTTTTTTTGATATTTTCTTCCTGCTTTATTTGAGTCTTTATTTTTATTCTGAAAAGTTACTGGCAAAGAAAACTTACAGAATAGAAATACTTTATTTTCTAGAAACAAAATGCTTTTCTCCATTTTTTGTGTCAGGGGCATAAATGGTAATGGAAAAAAATACAATTAAAAAAAGAAAAAATAAGCAACAACCCCCAAAATATCTTTCCTGTAACAAGGAAATTGATTGTTACCTCATCATGTCTGTACCTGTTAAAAGTATGCTTTTACTTCAATCAATTGTTATAATAATGGACTTTAGACTACTTTATTTTGGGAGTGGTAAAAGATACACAAATTTCACCATTTTAACCATTTTTAAGTTTATAGTTCAGTGGCATTAAGTTCTGAACACAATATATGTATCTACAGACATTTTTCATCTTTTCTATACTACAACTCCTGCACCCATTAAACAATAATTCCCCAGTCCCTTCTTTTCTCCACCCTTAGCAACCACCATTCTACTTTGTATGAATTTGACTGCTACTCTCGGTTCCTTATACAAGTGGAATCATGTATCATTTGTCCTTTTGTGACTGCCTTATTTCAGTTAACATACTCTCTTCAAGGTACATCCATGTTATAACACATCAGAAGCTCCTTTTTAAGGCTAAATAATATTCCATTGTATATATAGACCACATTTTGTTTATCCATTCATTTGTGGATGGACATTGGGTTGCTTTCATCTTTTGACTGTTGTAAATAATGCCGCTGTGAACATGGGGCACAAATATGTCTGAGTCCTTGCTTTCAGTCCTTTTGGGTATATTCCCAGAAATGAAATCATTGGATCGTATGGTAATGCTTTTAAGTTTTTTTTTGAAGGAGCACCATAATATTTTCCATAGTGCACAGGGTTCCATTTTCTCCACATCATCACCATCACTTGATATTTTCTGTTTTTTGTTTTGCTAATAGCTATTTTATTAGGTTTGAAGTGGTATTTTATAGTTTTTATTTGCATTTCTTAATTTATGACGTTGAGTATCTTTTCCTGTTTTTTCTGGCTGTCGAGTTAATTTTTCTTGTAGAAGTGTCCATTCAGGTTTTTTGTTTATTTTTAAATTGGGTTTTTGTTGTTGTTGAGTTGTAGTTCCTCATGTATTCTGGATATTAACTCCTTATCAGATATATGTTTTGCAAATACTGTCTTTCAATTTGTGGGTTGCCTTTTCACTCTATTAATAGTGATTTTTAATGCACAAAAGTTTTTAATTTTGATGTAGTCGAATTTACCTTTCTTTTTGTTGTTGTTGCTTCTGCTTTAGGATATCCTTTAGTACTCTTTCTGATAATTAAAAAGTAGGGCCATTTGTCCTGTTAAGGACTCTCAGACATAATATTTGATAATAGCAACTTCATACCAGTAGAGGGAATAATTATCTTTTTATTCTTAGAAGCAGAAGGACAAGTTTCTGGCTCATTAAGATTCAAATTTAAAATGGGGTGTGAGGGAAAAACAAAATGCATTGTAGTAACCTTGGCCATGAACCTTTGTGTTGGTGAAATATAACAGTGTTGTAAGAGCACGGGTAACCAGGGATGTGTCAGGAAACGTTCTCTGTACTCTGTTTATTCCTCTTCTCCAGTGACACTTCAGAGACACCTTCCTTGACCACTCTTGTACCTTCTCAACTTGCATTCTGGTTTACTCTCATCCCTTTTTCTTTTTAAAATTTGTAACAATTTTTTAATGACTAGACATTGTTATTTATTTGCTCATTTATTACATGTATTTTCTCATAAGGGCAGAAAGTCTTTGTTTTGTTCGCTGCTGACTCTCCAGTGCTTAGAACAGTGCTCTGTGAATATTTGATGAATTAATAAAGCAGTCTGTATTGAACATTTTGTAGTTTGTTTATAAAAGTCTCAAGAAGTAGATGATGCTGATTGTCAGAGTGAAATAGTTGGTCCATATTACTCTTTCACTTGCATTCGTATACTTTTAACCCCATTATCTTGTAACATTAATTAATTTTTATTGTAGCCTCCTGTTTTAGTATTGTGTCATTTATGACATATAAAATAGGTTAAATATTTGAGTGCCTATTGGGGTAGGTCCTGTTTTAAGCCATGCATAGATGTTGAAACTTTAACATCTTAGGCTTTATTTAAGTTATTTTTGACCAACAGTTTTAATAGGGGAAATTTAAAAATGGGATTCATGAATCAAGTTGTATTTATAAAGACATGTTAGTTTAATTTTTACTTAGATTTAACCTAATGTGAACTTTTTTTCAGATATTTTCTAAATTTGGCACAGTCTTGAAAATTATCACCTTTACAAAGAATAATCAGTTTCAAGCCTTGCTTCAGTATGCTGACCCATTGAATGCACAATATGCCAAAATGGTAATTATTATCTTTCTTTCATTTTTCAAGTGTTAATCAGTCACTTCAGTGATACCGAAGAGAGCCATCATGTCTTCTCCCTTGCTCCAGTTTATCATGTATTTTTCAGTTTTATTAAAATATACATAGTATAAAAATTACCATTTTTAAATATACTGTTTCATGTGCTCTTTTTTACAATAAGCTAAAAATTACTTCTTTGTTCATGTGAAATGGTTTCAAATCACCTATTCTCAGATCGCTGGGACTCATTACTGTTATATTTAAAGTATAGAATTGAGCACAGTACTCCTGATATAATCTAATAAAGTAGAATTATCTTTGCCTTTGACCTTCATTTTCTTCTATTAAATTAGCCAAAGATTGATTTCACTATTTTTGCAGCCATACTCACTGTTGAATCTTGTTGAACTCTGAATTGTTGAAGACATTAAATCTCAGGAACTATACTGCTGTCAATTCATAGGGTTTTTTGTTTTGTTTTGTTTTGTTTTAGTGCATTGAGTGCTTGACTTTTCGACGGAGATATAAAATTTCAGAGTTTAGTTATATGTGACCCATCTCCTAGTGAGATCTATCCTCAACCGGAATTCTCTCTTTTATCAGTATCTGAATTATTTCTAAATTCTTTCCAAAGACAGGGACAAGGTTTGTTGTACTTTTGTGTACCACTTAGTGTCTAGCTCTTAATTAAAAATATAGCCTTTTGCTGTACCTCCTACCTTCATATATATTATTTTGTACCTTTATGATGGCATACTCATAAAATACTATTACAAGTTAGGGTATTTTGTATATTTGTGTATTTTTTTGTTTCATTTTTATGTGTCTTGGTTTCTGATACCTATTTTTATAAGTTTGGGTATTTGTGGAAGTCATAATACAAATATTTCTTTGGTAAATTTTTATTGTGAAGGGGAGGGATTACTAATCTTTGGTCTTGTATCAGAGCTGACTCCGAATTTCCCTCAGCTTATTATTCACAGTACTAAAAAATAAATTTACAAGAGAAGGAAAAACGCAAGATAATATTTCATATATTGCTGTTCTGATAAGTATCATTTAAAAAGGCTTTCTTTCATCTTAATGTATATAAACTACATTAAAAAGAATTAAGATGAAATGGAAAATTAAAATATCTTTAAACATTTTTTGTGGACAAAACAATCATAATAATAGCTAATACAATGTACAACACTGCATAATAGTTTTCCAAGTCTTTACATTTCTCCTCTTTCATTTGATCTTACTGGAGAAAAGATAGGGATTGTTATCCTTATATAACAGAAGAAAAAACTGAGAGAGATTTTCTTTTTCTCTCTTAGGTACACATAGTGGCAGAGGTAAATGTAAATAAAGGTCTTTTGTTTTTTCAGTCCAGTGCTCTCTGCTTTATATCTGATAGCCATTCTGTGTCAAAGTAGAGGCTACTTGATTTATCAGTGTTATTGTCTTGCAAAATATCAGTCCCTTTCTTACATGCTTTAGGCTCTGGATGGCCAGAATATCTATAATGCATGCTGCACTCTGCGTATTGACTTCTCCAAGCTCACCAGCCTTAATGTGAAATATAATAATGACAAAAGCAGAGACTTCACTCGCTTAGACCTTCCTACTGGTGATGGCCATCCATCCCTTGAACCCCCTATGGCTGCTGCTTTTGGTGAGTAGTTCCATTTTGAGTCACAAAGCAAGTTTTCTGAAGTTATGCCATTTCATTTATTAATCCATGTTATGTCAGTTAGCCTTTTTCTTCTTGGATTCTCTCAGGATTTGTAAAGGATAGCAAGGATCATAGAACAAAATGTGTCCATTAGTTAGATTTTAATATTTGTAGATTCTATTAGTTGGCAAAACAAGTGAGTATCTGAATTTAAAAGTTACAGATTTATTTTCTAACATTACTGTTATTCATCCTTTATTAGCCACACAACCATTTGCTTCAAATCAGTAGTCTTTTACATAGTAACATTAGTTTAAATATGTTGGTTTGTAGCCAACAAAATATTGGCTTAAGTGCTCTTGAGAAAAATGCTTTTCCCTTTTTTAAATAGTGATATTTTAAAATAAGAACCTAAATTAGTGGTATGTTCTTTCTTTATTCAAACAACAGGATTTATTTTATTTTGTTTTTTAAACATCTGAACTTCATCTTTTAAGTTTGTGGGAAGTTGTAGTTTTGCTTTATTAAAACTACAGTCTTCTGAATAGTCTTTGCAAATGTTGCTTTGAAGAACTTCCTTTTATTTATAACTAGTTCCCAGTATATTGATACTTTTTGGTTTTATTTATTTTTAATTTTATTTATTGACTTTGGAGAGAGGAAGGTGGAGAGAGGGAAAAACATCAATTTTGTTGCTACACTTATGCATTCATTGATTGATTCTTGTGACCATATTTATACTTTTTAAATAAACCTTTAATGTTAAGGAAGAAGCAGTGGATGGCCCAGTTGGATATATATCATTAGGTAAATGTATGCTACTTTTTTATTTTGCACCTCTCACAAGTGTGGTTTATATTTAGATAAACTTAAATTTTATTACCCTTTATGATTGATTTTCTTTTCCCAAATGGCACCATAAAATATTGCTAGTTGAGACTTTGAGTGGTTTTTAGTCAATCCTCCTTTTACAGGTGAGAAAGAAGAATCCATAGCCATTTGGTTGTCCAAAATTTTCTAGAAAATAGTTTGTAACTTTATTTTCAAATAAAAGCTTTTTGTTATTTATAAGTGAAAAAGTCAAGTGAATTGTTTTTAAGTTCACATTCCTAAAATTGTTAAAGTTTCTGCTTTGAGCTGACCAATGTTTGTGCTTTATATTTGTTAGCAGTCCCTACTTACATTTCCAGTTTTGCAGAGCTAAACATCTTTGTAGTTACCAGTTCAGTAACTCATGATAGAAATTGGAACTATCAATGAAGTTGGCCAAAACTGACTATCAAATGCAGAACTACTTAGTAAAGTTAACTGCAATAATTTAGTACATACTGTTGGTGTAATTAATGTTCTGCATTGTGGAAAGAAGACATTTTAAAAATACAATTAGCATAGTTGGTTTCTGAATATCAGAACATTAACATCCTATTTCATTGTGTTAAATTCTTAGTCATTATAAAGTATTGCCTACATCCTAAGATAAGTGACTCATCAAAGAATGCTTTTTATATATTGTGTGAAATTTTACTATTCCCTCCTTTTTCTCTTGGCTTCTGAAATACCACACGCTCCTAACTTTTTTCCTACCTGTTTGTTTTTTTTCTTTTTTTTAAAGATTGTCATTTAAAGTTCCTACGGTTGAGTTGTAAGCACTCTGTCCTTGTTTTTAGTGATACATACAGGGCAGGGCAAAACTAGGTTTACAGTTCTTCATATTGAAAATAATACAGTAATTAATAAATAATAATGCAAGAATAAGCTGTTTCATGTACTGACAACTGTAAGGTTACTTTTACCTCTATATTTATAGAAAACCTTACAAAATCTGTAAATAAGTTTTTTAATACACATGTAATTGTCAACTAGGTTAAGAAATCAAATATTTATACATATTCAAGAAGCACTCTTTGCACTCTTCTTACTAATTGTGCTTCCACTCTTTCAAAGATAACCAGTCTCAAATTTGATGATAATCATTCTTTTGCTTTTCAGCTTTTTGTTTTTGTTTTGTTTTCTTACCACTTATTATGAAGCCCTAAGTGCTAATTTTAAAAATGTTTTCTCCTATATTTAGAACCTTATGTAAATGGAATCATGCTGTTTCTTTTCTTTTGTGACTTGTGATTCATTATATTCATACATGGGTCTTTTGCTCATTCATTCTAAATAGCATCAAGGATATAGGTTACCATTGTGTGAATATACCACTGTTTATCCATTCTACTGTGGATAGACATTTGGATTATTGTAGTTTGAGGCTATTGTGAACAATGGCTGCTGAGAAATTTTCCTGATCACCAATGAGGTTGAACGTATTTTTATTTGTTTATTGGCCATTCTCCCTTATGAATTTCTCTGTTCAACTCTTTTGCCTATTTTGTGTTTGGGTTTCTTCCTTTTTCTTGTGTTTATTTGTAGAAGTTTTTAAAATATATTCCAGACACTAATTCTTTTTTGGTTTTATGTATCGGTTTATATGTGTTCCTCCCAGTTTTGGCTTTATGGCATTTTTATGTAGTCAAATTTATTTGCCCTTTTCTTTATATTTGTGTTTTTGTGTCTTATTTAAGAAATCTTTTGTTACCCTGACATCATAAAACTATATAATTCTATTTAAAGTTTATAATATTTTAGTAACTTTATTTTGAAATTATTTAAGTTGCAAAAATAGTACAAAGAATTGTCTTTTATCCATCATTCATATTCCTCAATTATTAACATCATGCCACAGTTTATCGTGTGTGTAGAGGTGGTATTCCCCCCCCCCCCCGTCCCCACCCCCAAATCACTGGAGAGTCAGTTGCAGGCATAATGCGCCTTTACTTCTAAATACTCACTTTGTATTTTCTAAGAACAAGGTCAGTCTTACCTAAATACAGTTCAGTTATCAAAATCAGGAAATTAACATTCATATAACACAATTATCTAAACCATTGACCTTTGAAAATTTTGCCAGTTGAGAAAGTAATGTTCTTTATGAGAGAATTTTTTCTAGTAAAGATCCAAACCAGTATCAGGCTAATATATTTGTCATGTTTTCTTAGTGTTCTTTCATTTGGAACATTTCTTCATTCTTTGTCTATTATGATCTTTGCATTTTTTAAAAGTTCAGGCTGGATATTGTATAGAATGTCACTCAGTATGAGTGTGTGGTTTTTTGGCTGAAATAATGTGTTTTTCTCTGTTTATTACATCAAGAGACACACAATATCAGTTTATTCTGTTCCTGGTGATAATAACTTTGATCATGGGCAGAGGAAGAAACTTTTCTATGCCCTTTCAGGTTTTTTAGGCTGGTCTAATATTAATAACTAAATTTATATGAGACAGGTTAACAAGAGAAAATAACCAAACTTAAGTCAAAGACCCCCACATACATAAGAGGTTTAGTGATTGAAAGGGAAACATTCTACATTGGGTCTCCAAAGGGGAGAAAGGTCACTGCAGGGTAAGAAAAGCAGATGTTCAGTAGATAGATAAATCATAAAAAGTTATTTCTGGCGCAAGGGCTCTAATTTAAATTCTTTTTAGGAGTTAAATGGAGGAAGAAGTTTCTCTTGAGCCTGCAGGGTTTCAGTAGCCTTTAGCTCAAAATAATCTGCATACCACAAGGGCATGTCTTGGGGTAACTCATTCTGAACCCCTATAGTCAGTCACTTATTAAAGTGGTTTCTCTCAAGTTTCTTCCAATGAAGTTACTGTTTTTCTTTTTGTAATTAATTTGTAGGAAGATCTGTTGGGACTGTGTAAATATAGTTTTGATATCCATTGCCAAAATTAGTTGTTGCTGTGATGGTTGCTATATTGGTGATTTGATAATTCCATTATTTCTTCTTCTTTTATTAGCTGGGATTTAATTATAAAGGACTTTTTCTTAACATCATCCTATTCATTCATTTATTCATTTTGAATAAATTTGACATGTAACATTGTATGAATTTAAGGTGTGCAACATGTTACTTTGATACATTTATATATTATATGAGTGCCAATGTGTTAACAGTATTTATCACATTACAAAGTGTACTGTTGTCTATATTTACTATATTGTGCATTAGATCTCTGTGGCTTATTCATTTACCTATTTTTATGTCAATATGGATTCATAGATTCTTATTCTGTGGGTTATAGTTTTGTAGAATAATTTTTCATCTTATGTTCATACTGTCCCAGATTTAGCCAGTGGGAGCTCTTTCACACTGGCTTCTGTGGCCTCTTGAAATATCCCCATTAGCATTTGATCACTTTCTGACTTTTTGGCAGAAGATAAAACAGATTTTTCCTAACTTGCCCTGACTTAGCACTGCAAAGTGAGCTCTGGTTCCTTTTAATGAGAAATGGTATTTGGAAATTAACATCTGGGCATTAGATGTGCTTATTGCTAAGAAGACATCATTGCTTATAGGTTCGTTCATTCTTCCTTTCTCTCCCTTCCCCTCCCTCCCTCCTTTTCTCTCTCTCCCTCTCTCTCTCTCTCACTCACTCTTCCCTCTTTCCCTCCCTTTGTTCCTTCCTTCCTTCCTTTCTATTTCTTTCTTCCTCCTTCCCCCCCCCCCTTTCTCTTTCCCTTTCCCTCCCTCCCTCCCTTCCTTCCCCGAGGATATGTTTGTTGACTTTAGGGAGGTAAGGAAGGAAAGACAAGCAAACAGACACATCTACCAGATGCCTCCCATTGGTGCCCTGACTGGGGGGTTGAACCCGCAACCTTTTGGTGTACGGGATGCAGCTCCAGCCAACTGAGTAATCATATCAGGGTTAGGCACTTTAAATGGACATTACTAGGATATATGTGTATTTGTGCCCCATAAATATATTTTTATGTGTGTTTGTTTAAAAACCACAAATTTTAACTGATGCCTCCAATTCCAACCCAGCACCTTTTTCATATTGATAACTTCCTTCTTCAAGAATGTGAAAGCTAGTTTCCATTAGCCTTAATTATTTGCTTGATCCTGTAATACACAAAAAATAGTTTCAACATGGTTATCCTATAGCATTAAAAC